GCAAAACTCGTTTCTTCGGCTGATGACTGGCACGCGATGCGGGTAATAGAAGCTTTCGACCGAATCACGGTCTGTGAGCGGAATGACTATGATAGGCTGGATATGCACTGGTTTGTACAATGCAATAAAACGCAGCCAAATCGAGCGACGTTCTGGCCAGAAAAAACGGGACGCGATTGTCTCTGGCGGCGCGGTCCCCAACGCCTTCGCCAAAGGCTGCCCCCTGCGCGACAACAAGGCTCACACTACAGCGCCAGAATGCAGCCGCTACAGGGCATGTCGCGAGGGGCAGCGCTGTCAACGTAACTTTCCGGCAAGCGTTGGAAGTTGCGTTGCCCCTCCGTGGCGCGGATGATGATGTAGATTGTGTTGTCCTGTTGAACATGGAGGTGGACTCGTTGCGCAGTGCGTTAGTGCCGGAGGTATAGCCTGGAAGTCGCTGCAACTGTCTCGCCGTCACGGCACCCAACACTCTAAACAGTGTCGCCAAGCCAATAAGCCACTGCGAGCCACGCCCCTATCGGCTCCGTTCCTTAACATCTTTCGTGTCTCGGTCAGCTACAGAGCGTGAGTCGATGTTCACATTGGACCACACGCCCGCTCGCTGGCCTCATTCAGCGCGCGTGGCCGGTCGTCTTCTCACGTCCCGACGTTTGAGGGCAGGTGTGTAGGACTAGCGAAGAACTTGTCCGTTACCCAGCAACCTTCCTGTCCGGCGTCCTGTGCCTTTACCAAGACTGCTCAATATCGTCTTGTCAGCAAACCAACATCGATGGCTATGTTGGCAAGCGGCGCACGTATATGATACCGAGAACAATCTGTTTGCACCCTACAAGTGACCCCGCCCCCCTATGCACTTACCTATTCCGTAGGCATACGCCGCATGGAGTGACTACCTGTTCCTTGCCGTTCTCAAATGTCAGCTTTCGGCCACTGTCAAGCGGCAGTGTTAGTGCTCACGTTCCGGCTCTCCACATTATCAAACGCGTGTAGCACACCGCTGTGTGTAATCGCCATATTTCAACATGAAGATTTCTAGGCCGATACACATTTGGGTCTGAGTTGCACATGAGACCTAGCCAACGACTTGAATGCACGGCGATCGCATCGGAGATCATGCCAGAGTCTCGGAAAGGACGGTGCGTCAAGATCTAGAATCAAGCCATGGCCAATCCATTGAGCCTAAACTACCTCGTTCATAGCGAGCATGATATATACCGATCGCTCGGCATCTGCAGGCTTTGGACGGACATGAGGAACCGTTCGGATGATTCACAGATGTGAACTTGTGGAGACGAAAGAGGTCATTTTACTTGCCTTGGGTACGAGTACTTGCTCACAACGTAGCTGCAGCATGCTAGATTGAAGTACACTGATACTCTTGCGGATGCGCGCCATGTACCTGGACAACCTTCGAGCACATAGAGTGCCCAGAAAAGATTTCACGGCAGTTCATGCATCTTCTCTCATCAGGTGCAACATGTCACTACTACAACGAGAGTATATGATTACAGGCAAATTTTGTACGAGCACGTATATATCATGCACTAGAGGACTCTCGATGCAGTCGGTAGTTCAGAGAAGATGCACTTCTCGTGACCATGGCCCATGGCCCTACTGTTCAACAAATGACACTACAACAAGACCTGAATATTCAGCAAACCAACACAGCACGACTGTACCCACACGCATACTTTATGTTTATTACTAGATAGTTGAAGAAATACCTAAGAGCAGTCCTATCCCTTCCCGAATCTAAAGAGACTAGTAGAGTTTAGAGTAGAGTTGCCTAGCTATAACGGCCGTGCAGTGTTAAGGGGTGCACCGATGCTTGTGAAGGCGGAAGAGTGTCATTTTCGAGATCACTACATTAAATACTTCGAGTCTCTAATTGGCGAGCAAACTAGTATCTCTTAGATTTGCAACTGTTAAAGATCAGCGACTCATCTACTATTAAGCAGATGCATACAGGTTTCCGACCCGTGCTACGTATCCTCGATTTGTGTAGTTATTACTTGCAGCCGTCCAAATTCTAGAGTATCTTGCGTACTGGATATTTCAAAAAAACTTGGAACTCCGAACGTCATTCCGGGGCTCAGAACTCTTGCCATTTATTTTGGGCTGCTCATCCGCTCCTCGGAGGAAAATGCCGTCACCCAGCTTCTTGATCTCCAGGCAATAATCGTTCCCAAGAAATTGAGGCGCTTCGAGATTACTAACGTCAATCCGGCGTTCCTTTACCGGGCCCATAAGTGAATATAGCGCAATTGGGTATCTCGACGTGTCGAGCGAGCTGATGGCGGCATCGCCTCATTGCGATCCCTTCATCATTGAGACCTAGAAACAGCCCTCTGATCAAAGTGTGGAGATGTTGGAAACGCTTGCTACCAAGTTACAAATGATGAAAGCGAGACTGAGACTTTGACGGGAGGATACCCACCGAGTTGAGATCTTACGATCCACATTGCACGCCTGCACCAATTCCGGGAGATTGACAGACGCGTCTGTAAAGGTGGACAGCTCACAAACCGACTTCTCCGGTGGCGACTGTAAAGATTGTATCAGTGTTGACTTTGCCCGAGCGTGTTCCTGTCCTTGCCGAGTCGGGTCAAACTTCCCAGGTAGGCGTGCTGCTAAGCAGTAACGACAACAGCCTAGCTAGAAATCATACGTTCACGAGTAAGGCTACACGCTACCTCGCTAAATGGAGGTCTTGTGTGGTGTGTGTTAAGTGTGTGTCAATACCTAGGTAGGATTGGAGTTGCTCACTCGCAGGTCATGACGTCAGGTTGTTGCTCCGCCCCGGCATTTGTGCAGTCGCGCCTTCCACGATAACCCAAGCTACTAACGGCCCGATACAGCAGGAAACACCGACATGCTTACTACTCAAACCCTGGAGATGCTGACGAATCTTGTGCAAACGAGGATGGCTGTCCCCTCTTCTGGTGGGGTCAAGGCGACCTGTTAGCACAGTGAACTTCGTGCACGACTGTGCCGGTCATCTTTACTACATCACCAGTACTCGTCGGGTTAGGACGCGCTCCTGTAAACATGGCGACGCGATCTATCGTAAGTTGATATGAGATGCAGCGGTCCGAGGGTGATTGACGACTGGTAACTGAACCGTAACGCAGCTGCTTATCGCAGCAATCGCCATTGCCGCGCCGTGGGTATACGACCGCTATCTCGGGTTCTCCACGATATTCGCAAACAGACCAGGGAAATTTGAAAATGTCAACCACTTCAAGAGTCACGAAGTCAAGTTCCGCGATCGGCTTCGCAATTGCGAGGATGTGCTGGTGGAAGAAGAGATGGGTATTGCGTTCTTGAGCTGCAATCCGGAGAGAGATCAGTGGAACACGGTAATGGTGCGTAGCCGCCCTTTGGATTTGCCCCTAAGAGCAAAAGAGTTTCAACGCGACGAGGGCTTACATATGCAGGGCGCCTTTGCGTCACCTTTGGATAAAAGAGATGGCACCGATAGCCCACATATCTGGATCTACGACTATTCAACGCCCAACATTCTGGACTCAGACGCTTTGAAGCCTCTCGTTCTGACTGACTATAACAACGCGGCGGATTTTCAGCCTCTGGGCATCGAATTTGATGCCGCGACTTCTACGCTATATGTCGTCAACCATTCCCGTAACTCTGGAAATCTCATCGAAGTGTTCCAAGTCTCCGTCCAGAATTCGGTAGCCAGATATGTGCAGACATTGAAACATCCGTTGATCCATACGCCGAATTCCATACACTCTCTAGGAGATGGGAAGCTATTAGTTACCAATGACCACTACATCGGCGCATTGGTCTCACCGTTCATATCACAAGTCGAAACATTTTCTGGCATTCCTGGAGGTAGTGTCGTCTATACTGATGTCCACAACCTGCAGCACACCAAGACGTTGACGCACGTCCCCTTCGCCAACGGCATTGCCATGCTCAATTCGACGACTGTTGCTGTTGCCTCGTCTTCCACGATGGGCGTAAACTTCTACAACTTTTACTCTGACACGATCAGTCTGTATTTCAGAAAATATATTCGTGCGCCTTCGACGGTCGACAACCTTTTTGTCGATTCTTCGGGCAAGCTTCTTTTGGCAGGCCACCCTTTCGCCCCAGCACTCACAGCTGTGAGCAAAGCGAGAGCAAAATGTAACGTGCAGGGATTGGATGAGGAGAAAGGAGCTTGCGAGTGTACGGCGCCTAGTTGGGTGGGAGAGTGGAGTGAAGAGGAAGGGCTGAAGACCTTGTATAAGAATGACGGAGACGAATTCTGCAGCAGTACTACGCTCGCTCGCGACGTGGGCAGAGGCGTGAGTATCGTCACGGCGTTATATGATAGAGGTATATTGGTGGCGAAGGGATGAGGACGACGCGCAAAACTCAACCAATGTGGACGGAGCGAGGCACCGATGTGTCCACACGTGCTATGATGAACATGGTTTCTTTGTGAGGGTTTGCAAGACCAAATGAATATCTTATTGCAACAAGCGCGATGTTAATCGGAGTTGCAAAGTGGTCTACAGCTTAAGCAGGTGGCCCTGTCGCGCGTTGTATCTTGGGGGTAGAAGGACCCAGAATGGGTGGCTTTTGCGAGTTTCCATTGTCGCCAACTCCCTACCCAGGTACTCCTCAATATGTAGGAGGAGTACTCAAAAGCACTGTGGCCAGGACCGTACTTTCAAGTCGTCGTCACAAGGACATCGCAACCGAAATCCTGACAAAGAATAGAGAGATGAGCAGCCGTTGAGTAGTTACTTTCTTAGTGCGGTTTCATCGTCAATGCTGTCTGTTCATGTCACCACCCGAGAGTGATGAGGCCGTGCGAGTATGGACCAGTGCATGCATGTTGGTGTCACGCAAGGAATAGTGTCATAGCTCCATAGTCACATTTCAGCGCATCATGTATAAGATGAGGAAGGATGCTTTGAGCTACTATGTCTAATGATTGGCCTATATGATGTAGCTACGAAAGGTTTGCCTACAGTTCGCTTTCCTCAGGCCCGGCACAATCTTCCGTTCTGAGTCTGAACACCCTGTTCTCCGTCTTGAACCACCCACCTCTCACTTCCAACGGCAGTGGTCGCGTAGAAGACATCGGTCGGGTCCCACTTCTTCTTGATCTCGCTCAGCTTGGGGTAATAACCCGCATAAAATGACTCCTGCCAGTCAGGCTCATCCACGCTTGCTTCGTTGAGATATGTACCACCACCCTCTGATACAGGTGCTATGTCGCGCCAAGGCTGCAAAATATTCTCGTGGAGATCTTTACTGGCGGCGGCAAGGGCTTCAGGGGTAGAGTGGTCGGCTGATCGGTTGGAAGAGGTCACCATGAACAAAGCACATTCACGCCAGGCTGGGCTGACGGCATTGTTCGTGTTTGCATACTTTTTTGGTGCCTTGTGATATCCCAAGAAGTGCTTGCCGGACAACACGTGCTCCTTGATGAGCGCAAATGTCTCGTCATACTTCTCCAAGAAGTTGCGTCTGGGAACAATTCGATTCGCGGGCATTGAGCTGTCCGAACCGACACCAAAGGGTACACGTCCCCATGTTGCTTGATAAGCAGAGTAGAATGTGTTATGCGCGATAGGTGCTTCGGGTACCGTGAGAGTGATGTTGCTGTCCTGGAGGTATTGGAAGAAGGGCTTTACGAGCTCGGTATATGATTCCATAGTGTGGTTGGGCGCGATCAGGAATCCCATTCGTAGGTATGGGGCCGGTGTTGCCCCCATGAAGTAGAAACTGTATATTCCCGCGTCCGCCCAGTCAAGGAAGACGTCATAGAACTTCTTCGTACCCGCCCAGAAGGCATCGACGCTGTTGTTCGAAGCATCAAGGGTCCAACTCGATGTGACAGAGTTGAGCTTAGGATGCGCTCGAATGATGACGGATGTGACGACGGCGAAAGTTCCGCCGCCGCCGCCTCTAAGCGCCCAGAATAGATCAGCGTTTGAAGCTTCAGAGACAGTGATAAAGCGACCAGCCGCAGTGACGACCTGGAAAGCGACGACGTGATCGGCCGACATCCCGTAGATGCCAGCAAGAGGATTTTGTCCTCCTCCGGTTATCATGCCACCAGCATATCCAACACTCTATTTTGCATTAGCTCCATTGTTCGCTTGATGGTAGAGCGAAGTCACTTACCGCGGCTATCGCGCCCAAGACGGTCACGCCGTTCTTGTCCGCGGCTTCATACACTTGCCGCACATTGACACCCGCAGAAAGCTTGAGCGCAGGTCCCGAGTACCCCGGGCCTTCGTACTGAGACATAAAGTCGATCTGGTCCATGTTGTGCATCCATAGACTCAATGCTCCAGCGCCAGTTGACTTTCCAAGATAGCAGTGGCCCGTGTTCTTGATGACAAGACGCATGTTGGTGGCACGCGCAAAGTTGATTGCAAGCTGGATCTGTGCCACATTCGTGACCTTGACCGCGTATTCTGGGTATGCACCCAGAGTGCATGTTTCGCCGGTGGTTGCGTTGTCAGGCATACATGTCCTGCCCTGATAGATCGGCCACATATCTGGAGATCACCATTAATCTACGCCTCGAAGTCTGTTAAAGGAGATAGCTTACTTGATGTGGGATCAGCAGAATGGAAAAGCGGACTTGTGAAATTGTTGATAACATCCGAGCACGCTGCGGCATCTTTCTTTCCCCATCTCGTGTCGTAACACGATGCCGCAATTGGCTTGGTTGGGATCAATGCTCCGCCGAGGAGCACGTCGAACATGTGCCAGGTGGTGTCTTTCGGCCAAGCGTCGTCTCCGGGAAACGTCTTGCAAGACGCTGAATAGGCAGGAGCATCGCTATCACCAAATTTGAAGTATTTGGCATAGTTTGATGTGGCTTCTTCTGTTTCCAGGCGTTCGATCACTTCATCAGTCAATTGGAGTTTCTCCGCTGCCTGTAAAGATGCTCCTGCTGCCGGCGTATTTGGAACGGTAGCAGCTGCAGGCTCGATACCATCCACGGCGGATGCTTGGACGAGTGTAAGCAATGGCGAGAGAGCCAAGAGTAGTGTCGTTGACCGCTGCATAGCGTACATGGCGACTTGAAAAGCGAAGACGAAGTGGATGGGGCTGGTAATGGTCCAACATTGAGCTGCTCGACCTTTTATCTTGTATCCTTTAGCCGGTTGATGCCTATCTCTCTGGCTCATTCTCAGTGGGCTTTCAGTACATGATTCGCGTGTCACTGCTCTAGATTCTGACAAGACGTAGTTTTTGACTATCATGTTACCCAAGAGGAAGGCCCAACAAAGTCATGCACATGTATACAGACGCAGGGACTGCAGGAATAAGACAGCGGTCGGTTTGATATACGATTCGTCAGTCGCAAAAGAAAAGAACACGGAGACAGTCTCCCTTGTAGCTTTGCTGATTTGCCACTTGCACGGCCTGGTATGCGGCATTGGCAAGCCCCAATCATACCTCAACTTTCAGGGGGCGGCACGCCCGCTTCCCCCGGGGCCGAGCCCGCCCCACTTATTGTGCTTACCTAGGGAGCCCTTACTCTAGAGCCTTGGCACTGAATCCTACGTTTGCACCTTTGCCGCTCTGTTGCACAAGCGGCAATCCGCGGACCAATGTCAGCGACCTTCGTTGATTTTGGGAATAGATTAGAGCATTGCGAATCCTTTGCATTGCCGCCTCATCCGAAATTGAGGGGCACTCCCAAAGCGAGGTCTGGCACCTTCGTGCTTTGGTCAATGCAGGTGGCTTACCTACTTCTCGCATCTGTCGACAGCTCACGAGGCGACATAACCTGGGCTTGTGACTAATGCAGCTGTCGAAAAGATTGTTTGTGCTGTTGGATGCTGAGGTTTGAAGGTGGCAACATATTGGGTTCCCCGTCCGTACCCATGCCCAGATTTGGAGCTTTGTCTTTATGGGATGTGGCACGGTAAACGGGACGGGACCATGGACCGCTCGCCAATATCGACACCCGACGTTTTGGAGCGTATCACACATGTGATGAACATGAAAGAATGTCGGATTGCGGCGTCATGAAACTCTTCTTAGGGTACGCGAGCGCCATCTATAAGATTACCTACACTTCTATACAATTAAATTCCGTTCAACTCTGCCGAGGACAGACTTTCACGCCACTGTAGCCATTCGAGGTGAACTCGTGATCTTCCTCTTCGCGCAGCATGGCAGGTACAGGCCTTCAACCAGTCAACATCTTCCTCATAATTTTCCCTTTCCTAGTGTCCTTCTTGGTTGTATCTATCAGAATATGGAGAAAGATGAAGGAGCGTACCTATGCTATCGGTTGGTGATATCCTTTCCTACGGAACTAAACTTACGCTAACAAAACTGCTCTAGAGGATACACTCTTGGTAGTAGCAGAGGCTATACTGGTAGCACTCACAGCCACTATGTGGAAGTGTACGTTCGAAATGCTCTGTACACCTCTACCATCTGACCCAATTCAGTCATTCTGGTGTCTTACGCAGGATACCATTCAGCCGATATTCCCGAGGGAGCCCCGCATAAGTCAGACGTCGGTTTTGTATGGTCAACTATATAATACTTAGGCGTCAACTCTGGTACTGACAACCATCCTCATAGTGGCGACATACGAACAACGTCATCTACAACCCCATTCTAGGTTTAGCCAAGATCTCGTTCCTGATCACGCTCTTGAAGCTCCGTTGTATGGATCGCCTCATCATCGCAAGTCTCTGGACTCTGATCGCTATAAACATCATGTTCATCATCAGTTCTACTTTGGGTAGTCTGTTTATGTGCTGGCCTATACAAAAAGCATGGCATGGGAGCATAGATGGTACATGCGGCGATCGCGCTGCGTATGTATTCGGCACGATCGGTGTGACGATCATTACCGATGTCCTCGTATCACTAATTCCAGCCTGGGTCCTCTACGATCTACGAATGCCTTTGAAGAACAAGGTGTTCGTGATAGGGTTTCTCTCGCTGCCACTTACCGTGACAGCTATTGGCTGCTACCGTCTACACAAATTCGTCGAGGTTATGGCGTTGCCCACGATTTACGTCGAGGACCCCTACAACATACGAAGCGTGTTGTCAAATGTAGAAGCCAATCTGGGTGTAATTGCCGCGTGTGGCCCAACGATCAAGTGGATGCTGGTAAGATTCTCCCTGTGTACGAAGATGAGATCAGTGCTGACTGCCCATCTCCATTATCCAGAGCCGTTTCATTCCTTACTTAGATACCAGTCCGAGCAGGAATCCATTCCCGCCAAACTCATTCCCACGCTTCCAATGGCGCACACGAGAGAGTATGAAGGGGGCCGTCGACATCGAGCTGCAAGAGCATTACATCGATACCAATAACGATGATCAACACGACGCAAGCCGCGACCGGCAGTTCACAACCATCAGTAGCGACAGCCAGAAAACAGCGACGGCACAAGACAAGGGCGATGTGATGATGATGGAGGAACCAGGGCTGCACTTGCAAGTGAACAAGCCCAAGCCTTCTTTCCAACCTGGCAACTGAGGCTCTTACGTCTTTTCCTAAACTTCAAACGTGCATTCCTGTCGCAATCACGTTTGGTCTTTGCATAATGGCTGGTCTTTGCACCAAAGGAAGCGCTTCTTCTCTGCCGCTGTACTCCTGTTCATACCTAGGTAGCTTCAACCGCCTCTGAAGCATCTATCAGATGCAGTTCGTTTCCCTCCGTAGGGTCAACAACGTGCATCGAGACTCGCGAGTCGGAGGCGGCGTATACGATGCGTCTTTGCGACGAATCTGGAACGGGAGCTGGCATAGATGCAGGCTCAAATACATTGGTCTTGTAGGTATTACATCACACTTGATAAATCCATGATTTTGACTGCGTCAATCTTGTGATCGCATTCAAACCACTTCAGCCTCGGGATTGAATGCCTAGTCATCGCATTGCGGCTCGAGCACAGCTACCATTTAATGACTTTGTTTATGGTGATGAGGGCATGGGTCTATCGAGCGCCAAGCAACGCAACACCGCTCATCATGCGTGCTGAGCGCGCCTGCTTTCATAAGTTCAAATGAACAGATCTGCACCGGAAGGTGCTATTTTACAAAATGTGTCTTGTTCTGCCTTCTTTTTTGGCTTGGATAGAAGAACGTCGCAGTCCTTCGGAAATGCGTCAAGCTCGTTCACTTCCTCGACTACGAGCGCCTTTGTCTTCGACCCTTTGTCATGACCTTCTTGCCTTTGACCCTTGGACGAGCGATGAGGCGGTCTTGCTGATTGCAACTACAATGGCGATCATGTGTTTGATCTCAGAGCGAACGTCTGGGGTTTTGACCTTGTCAAGAGGGCTTCAGTATGGAGGTTGGTGCGGCGAAGGGGATTTTAGCATACTGAACGATACCCTGGATTGGAGAAGGATGGCATCTTGCTCGTTCGTGTAGAAAGATTAGTGTGGGGAATGCGTGCTGATTAGTGCACGCTGTCTGTCAAGTTGCAGTATGGTAGTAGCAGAATATACTTTGACGGGACTGATAGAACTAGAAAAACACGAACGTTAGCTTGCAGAACGTCGACTAGAGCTACGGTAAGTGCGGAATGTCCAAAGGTGAAGATAAAAGCGGACACAATTGTGTTAATGTTCAACAATAGCATCCAATTGGAAACTAGAATTACGCAGATCTGGAAAATACAGGAAAGTCGTCGAGACGGCAGACTCAACGGATGGTGAACCAAGGAGTTGAAGATCCAATGGGTTGAAGGTCACGGTCAGGATTGACATGAGTCACATCATGTTGATTCTACTATAGCAGCAAGGCGCAGCCTGCCTACGGGACCTCGATTTTATTCTCACACGTACAATGCTATGTATGTGCAAATAGTCATCTCAGACCCTGTTACAACTCCTCTTTGTCAACGCCGTCAATGGAGACCAACTCCGACTCGAAGACTGTCATACGTCAGTCAATGTATTCGCCGTGTGTCCCAATAGCACTTACTCAAGACGCTGTTGGCGGGGATGGGGCCAGCACCCCGCGAGCCATAGGCCCACTCAGGCTGGATTGTGAGCTTCCTCTTTTCGCCGGGGCACATGTCTAGCAGGCCTTGGTCCCATCCCTTGATGACTTGACCGGTACCGACGGCGAAGGACAAGGGCTGGCCGCGGTTGTATGAGGCGTCGAATTCGCTGCCGTCGCTTTCGAGGGTGCCGCGGTAGTGGACGTTGACCTTGTCGCCGGCCTTGGTCTTGCGCACGCAGTTGGCTTCGGTGAGGACTTCGGTCTTGAGATGCTGTACAAGGCGTTAGCACGCCATGCATGCCGTATAGCTTCGCGGGGTGTTACTTGCCTCGTTGTTGACAATCTCGCCAGCGAGAGCGGCCGTAGCCAAGGCGAGGATGAGGGTGAGCTTCATGCTGACGTCTATGTATAGTGAATTTGCTTTTCGGACACTCCACGGATGTCTATGAAGCAACCTTGGAAGGCGACGTTGCAATGGCGGCAGGTGGAGTGTCTATGTGGGGGATACATGTGGCGCCAAGCGGTAATGTGGCCCAAACCATATGCAGGGACCTTGGGGACGTCATTGGATGTCGCTAGCGTCATTTTATAGCATCGAAAAGACCACGGACCCAATACCTACTTCTCTGTCTTTCGCGCTCAAGCCCGAGGGGTCTTTTCGCGACGGAACTTTGGTTGTGTACATTGGGGGGGGAGATATTCGGTAACGGTGGTTGACCCAATACCTACTATCTCATCGCTCGGGAGCCGCAGTACTATGACAACGACTGTTGTGAGTAATAATATCAATTTGTCTGATGAGTAATAGGGGACTGGTTTCACTCTTAAAGAACCAGGTATTACTAATAACCATAAAGCCATCAGTGGTAACCTCAGAACAGCGACGCCACCCCTCTTCCAAATGATAAGAACACGAATTGAAGAAATCATGACCACACATCCTCCCCATCGAAACCAACTCCCTCTTCCCCAAGACTCTTTACCAAGAACAGAAGGCACGATCAATAGTAAACCCCTTTTTGCAACCCAATCATACCCTCCTCCCTCCCATCCATCGCCACACTCTTGATACCAAAATCCTCGACTGCCAAATCCGCAGCATCCAACTCCGCGAGAACTCCAGCCTCTTCCACCTCTTTCCTGCTTCCGCCAGAGCTGCCCTGCTCAATACACTTAAAGCTTCCGAACTTGGGCATGCCGATTGCGATACCGGGGAACGTCAGCTTCTGAAGAATGTCGCCTGTACACGAAAAGTTCTGGTAGAGGGCGCACGTAGAGCCTTGATCAGGTCCGAGTGATGCGATACCGCTGGGGCTGCCTTGGATGTGGCATTCCGTGTTGGGTTGCGTCCAGCTGCATTCGCCGGCGAAGTTGGATTTGGTGCAGGTGTAGTAGGCACCAGGAAGACCGCGCCGGGAAAGAAGATGTGTTGGTAAGGCTGAGATGGTGGTTGTAGTGGTGGCAATGGTGAGTAAGAGGGCTATGAGCGCGATAGCTGTATACATTGCCGGGTTTGTTGGACCGGACGACGATTAGGAATTAGCTTTGGGCTATGCCTGTGTGTATGGCGTAGTGCGCGTATGTGTGTAATTTGTCTTTGGGGAACACTTGACTCGGTGTTTCAAATGTTCTTATGACAGCCGTGGGGTGTATTTGTGACTGAGCCTTATCGTCTTGTGAGCCACCGAGTCTCATGATTGTCTGCGCGCGTCGTACGGACGTAGATTATACGGTCACGGGTTTGCGTACCTATTGCACAAACGGACAGGTTGGTGCATCAAGCACAAAGTCTGGAGTCTGTCTCTTTGTCACGGACAGCAAACATCTACAAGGAGATGTAGAGATGTATTGGCGTGACTCCATGGCGATGACAACGCCACGAAAGCTTTCAATAGGCCATACGAAGAAACCAAAAGACGTATAGAGAGGGGAAGAAGAATTGCAAGAGTGCCAAAATATTCAAAGACTAGAGATGTGAGAAGGTGATATGTGCTACAAGGTGCATCGGATGCGCTCCGCAACGATGGCGCGACATGGGTGGGTTGCTGCTTTGAAACGTCCTTCAGCGGGGCTGATGATGAGATGCAACCAAAAGGGTCGCAGTACTCGCAAGCCCATGCCACGAATCGTCTTATAGCCGCGAACTCGCTGGGGGACGCGGGTGGCATGCATCTGGGCTGTGTCATCAACGTGTCGCCGCCAAGCTGTCGCCGGTGCCGCCAATACGCACTTTTGGCTTGACAGGTATGACTGGGTTTGGTTGCTTATGATCGTCAGGTACGAAGCTGCGAGACGTCTGCAGGATGCCGCTATAGTGGACAGCGATCTTACACGTCGCATGGGTCGTGCATTTACAAAAGTGCTGCTCTTCGCGTCGGGTTGTAAAGTTTGTGTCGTTTTGGTCGTACCTAGGTAGGCAGGTGTGCATGATAGAGGCGCGACGGTGACGCGCCGGCAATAGGTATGCACATGCCATGCCATGCCACGCCAACATTGAACTCACATGCCATGCTTTGGACTTGAAAAGCAAAGAAAAGGGTCCATTACAATCTCACTCCTCTTATTTTGCGCAGGGGCTGTTGGGTACAGAAGATAGATTGCGCGGTCAAAGGATAGGTAAGTCGGCCGCAATTTGCTTGCTTCTGCCAGCGTCATCTTACACTCGGCAATAGAAGAACGTTATCTTCACATGAGTCTAACGAGCCATCACAGTAAACATAATACAGGTGTACATCAAAGGGCGAAGGCATCCTCGGACCCTACAGGTCAGTGGCTATCGCAAGTCCGACATGCAACCCACCACCATTTCCACCCTTCCACATCTACCAAACGGCCCGACACGATCCGAGGACTCAAATCCACTACCTCCAAAAATAAACCTACACAATGCTTTCGCTTCATGATGCGCAAAACGGCATGCGCCGCGTTCCACTGTTCTTTCGTTGCGTCTTCCGAAACCGCGAAACCCCAGGCGTTTTGCAAATAGGGAACCACCCCAACTGTGGGGGTACCTAGCCACATTAACACGTTAGTGAGGTTGATCAAACACACTCGGTACAGTACAGATGTGGTCTCGTGGATGGTATGCTGCAGGCATTTACTATGTCATGGGGATTGCTGAGCGTAAGGATAGTATAGCTGGGACATAGTCGCTATCTTCTACGTCGTGTTGTACGTTACCACACAGCAGCTCGGGGGTGTACACGAGTCTCTGCGGTAAGTCTTGATTATGAGAAACGCCGTGAGTACCTCCAGGTTATGAGATCAGCCTCATTGATGTATCGCACGACGGTCACAATATGCTCAAGGGTATGTTGGAATGCTCATCTGTATCTCATTCAAAGCCACTGTCACCAGCAACTAGATCTAACCGCTACTCTCCAAACCTGCAAGCAGATCTGTAGACGCCACGTCACGCCACATGATTTAACCCCGTCCTTACGATAGTCTAGCCCTCTTGCGAGCCCAACCCGGTCCCTCATCGGACGGAGGACCCGGATTCGAGGACGAGGACATCTGCTGCT